TGCCCTGCTTTTATAAAACACCCAGTATATAATGTTGAGAATAATTTTGAAATGAGGAAATTTAGTAAATGAAAAAGTTTTTCTCCAACGTTTTTCTCTATAGGTTATGGCTTTCGGGATATCGAAGAATTACGCACTGAATGGACACACTGTACATATACAGTGTGACCCACTTCTAATAGAAAAAGCCCTGTATCTTATGTCACCGTTGGGTGAGGATCTTGAAATTTGCTGGAGCGAGAGAAATACAAAAACTGTACCCTAGGACCAAGTGAGGTCGTCTTCAGTGATATACACTGCTCGCTTACAGCCATGGAACCACCCCAATTTTTGTAAAATGATATGAGGAGTCTAAATAGGTCGGAAATCATCAACTATTCATATTTTCTCCAGGAAATTTTCAGTTCTGGAAAATTAAATTTTGTCGCACTTCTTACGGAAGCAACCACGTATCTTACGTAATAGACTTCATCTTTGGACTTTCCTTACTTTCTGCGAATTTCAGAACCCTACCTCGATAATTACGTGAGACGCGGGGGTGCTTCCATGAGAAGTGAGACAAAATTTGATTTTTCTGAACTGAAAATTTTCTAGGAAAACTATGAATAGGTACTGAATGGGGTGTCCTGAATCCGAATACGAAGTGATTTTCAACCTATTTTGACTCCTAATAACATTTTCCGGAAATTAGGGTGGTTCCATGGCTGTTGGCGAGCAGTGTATATCACTGAAGATGACCCCACTTTATCATAGAGTGCATTTTTGGTATATCTCTCGCTCCAGCAAATCTCAGGATACTTACCGAACGATTACGTATAGGATACAGAGATGCTTTCATCAGATATGGTTCAGACTGTATAGAATTCCATTAAGAGAAATAGACCTCCGCTTCTTAGTCATTTTGTTCCTGCGCACTACGTACTTGTATAAAGCAATATATTTCACCCACACTCTTTTTTAATTCATATTTTCACGGCTATCAGACTCTGGCGCGCAATTGCCTCTCCTCGAATCCATAACATGAATTCTCATTCGGGTCGATTCTGTTCGGATCTTGTTATATCACATTGCTGAGATAATAATATTGTTATGATCATAACATACAGCAATATTGCTATGAAGTTCTGTATTCTGTTTGCAGAGTAACTGCAAGACTGGTTATAAGTTCAAGTGACAGCAATATTGTTGGAAAATTGAGAATTTTTGAGCTGACAACACTGTTTTCAACTCATTGTTTCAGTGTTAGGTATCGATTTTGCCATTATTTCATGAAGAAGAAGGGTTCATGATTATCTAACCTCTCAAATTAGTCAGTCCTGCGCTGACATTTTACAGAATCATATTGTTCAAATCGAGAGATTTTGTATTTGCTGAATCTGGTCGTCGTTGTGCGACTGGCAAGTAATCAATCATGTTCCCCAAAGGAGAAAACAACTAAAAGCCGGATGAAAATAATCGTGATTTTTTTTAATATTCTAGCAAAATATCTTGAAAACCTATCCATCAGGCAACTTAAATTTCTCTGATATGCTGAAATTGTAGACTCATATTTCCTCAACAAATTGGAACTTCAAGAAAAGGTTCTCAAGTAGTTGGTCACAGTAGTGAACCTATCCTATATGTTTGTAATCAACAATTTATGTTTTTCAATAATTCTTACACGAATTGAAACTTTGAGGAAAGGTTTTCGAGTAGTCTGTGACACAACTGAACTCTCATATGTTTTTAATCCACTATTTTCTGAATGTTTCATACAATTGAAAGAATTTGTAGTGCAAGAACAGAGAATCCACTACCTTGTTATAAGATAGCAAGCACAAAATTGATGTTGCCGAGATAGCAAGAAAGCTGACCAGATGTCATTGAAATTGACAGATCATATTGCCAAAAATCGATGATCAGAATTCCACTTTTTCGAATCTTGCTATGATAGCAATATCTTCTCTACAACCATATTGCTATTTGCAAACAGAATCGACCCGATTATCCACCCTATTTTGAAAGTCAATCAAACAACTGACGTAAATTTGATGCCAAGAACGTAGCGTGGCGTTAATCAGTTGCCTGTCTTTGTCTATATACCTTCAATATAAATATCAGCTGATGAGAATTCAATCAATACTCATTGACATAAATTACTATCCAAACCGCTGATGAAATAAAAAATAAGTTGAGCCACTAACGAGATCGAACTGGAAAAAATACTGGGATCAGTCCATGGACGTATAAACAAAGAATCGTGTTCACTCTTAAACATGTTCCTGGATCAATAAACATTAGTTGCTATGTCAATTCACCTAAGATTCTCGGAGAAATGACCTTCTGAGCAACTGATGGTCTACATTGTAGTTTTGTCAGTGTCAATACCACAGTCATGACGTTACCAATTCCAAACAATTGAATTGCCTCAAGGAATCCTATACCCTATCGGAACGTCTCACTTTTTTATTTGTCGATTTACTCACTGAAGTTCCTTCCTTTCCTCTCATCTATGATTCGATTATTTGATTCAACTGTCCTAGAATAGATGAGGAATCATCACTTATCTTCGGAACAGATCAACTGAATGAACTTTGAGTAAAAAACATCAGATAATAATGGACGTAGAATACAAAAATGAAGGGACTGACAGATCCCTGGAAAATATCGCAGTAATACTGGTTTATTCAACATCATTATGATTGATTGTACAAATACTGATTATTGAATTGCAACTCTGAGATGGAATCAGTCATTTCACTCACTTACATATTCATTTTCAGTGATAATTATATCATCGATTGATATCATAATCAAGACAGGAGCGAAACATTTCTATGTGATGAAGGTATGATGGTCGACATATTTCAACTAGTTTTTGAATATATGACAGATTGATATTGATCATACAGGACGAGAAGAAAAATTTCGAATTGAAGGAACCCAAACACGAATCGGCGATTGATGGTCTATAAAAATCGATTGTTGTTGATTGGGTGAAAGTATTGAGTAGGAATAATCTCAGATGGAATCATGAACATCGTGAGGAGATATATATGTATATACAGGGTGAGTCGAAAATGTGTACCGAGCGTTCTGAGGGTGATTATGTATAACCGAAAACGGTGGACATTTCGAACAGCTACTTCAATTTGTTTTTTTCCTTTTTCTTCCATTCAAAATTATGTATTTATTGAAAGTACCAAAAACATTATCAAACTTTTATTTTTATTAAAACCTTGTTGGGACAGACTTATGTTATGTACTTATTGCTCAGTAACGTGGCACAGGAAGGTGATATTATCGACAAAATTGAAAACAAAATTGTTCATGGCCTGCTGAAATATCGTTATACCGATGAATCTCGCGATGAATAAAATCAATCTGCTGATATCATGTAATTACAAAAACTCAAATATATCACGAACTGCTCAATTTTTTGTATTTGAATAGAAGTACCTTTTCCATGTAATTTTCTTCGCTCCATCAAATGCTTCTGTTTTTTCACCGAAAATAATACAGGGAAAAAAGTTTTCTACAAAAAATCATGACTCACCCTCTGAAAACACCCTTTATAACAATATCAGAAATGTGGAAGTGTGACGAAAAAATGTATTCTGACAACATACATTCATGCACAAAATTTCAATCGGGTGGCTTTCATCGTTCAGAAGTTATGCGGATAAATTATTTTAATTTTATCAACTTTGGGAGGATATATCTCCCTTAATATGCATTTTGGGCCATGAGTTTAATCATCAAACTACACTTATTTTTCAATGTTCTATCACCCCCAGAAAGCTCGGTACACATTTTTGACTCACCCTGTGTATATAGGGAAGAGATCATCAGACATAGCCCTCATGAAGAAATAAACGTAGACAAGTGTTTCAGGCTTTCGGCCCTCATCAGTACGGTGAGAAAGTGTGCAACAGGTAGGCAACACTTGGTGGAAAAAGAAACAACAGATCGACGGAGTCAACGAACAGAAGCCAGCCGCACATTATTTGTGGTTTAGGTCAGCAGACCCTAAGGTCTCAGGGAAACTGCTAACGTCACCACTGAGGCAGCTATAGCTACCTGCCATCTGCATAATATTATCTCAGAATAATCCTTCCCAATACTATCAAGGGGTTCGAACTTGAACTATGGAAACTTGTTATTTTCATAGAACTTTGATCGCAGAATCTTGATAAGGTTTTCCCAATTCAGAATTTTCTTCCATGTCCTGTATAATGAAAATCAATATGCTATACATCCGAATATCACATAACATTGTTATTTCAAAACATGCTTGGATGAGTGAAAGAATAGCTATAAGCTCAACTCTGCCAAGTAAAATAGAGTAAATATGTTATAATATGTCCGAAACGTGTACTATTGTTCAGAGTAAACTATCGTGAAGACGATTCTGAGTATCATTTAGTATTCACTACTACACTCCACTTTGAAAAATGGAGGACTTTCACCAGAGATTAGAAATAGTAAACAGAATATAAATTCACTCAGCTGGTCTTCATCATAGAGTTTCAGTGCTGAGGAACTGTGCAGAATAAAATAGTTCAATTCACAGTTATTCAATTCTAGAAATAGATCTGATAGACAAAGAATACCGGCTAGCGAAGCATTTCGGTATCGAAATAAAGTATTTTCGTTCACTGTGGATCTCGTTATCCTGAAAATACAAAGCTTCCAGAAGCTCTGACTTTATCGGCGCATTGGCCAATTCACGTCGGAAATGCATTAAATAATACACTCTAACGATCTCACCGAATAAACACTTCGAATACAAAGTTCGCGGGACGAATAAATATTGCAGGAATTACGTTTGCTCTTTACCCGCCGAGCAGCCAATTCTCTGGCGCCTTTATGGGTTGCAAGGGAGAGAGCTTTTGTGTCCTTGATCATTGAAGTTGAGCTCGCGTCTGAAAATAATAAACGATGGTGATTCAATACTCCACTCCACTCCACTCTGAAACAAATAAATGTGCTTGAATCCTACTCCAGACAAAATTATGTAGTTTTCTACGGAATAATCGAGGAAGAGAATGAAGATCAAGTGAAGATTGAAAGTACTGTTTTGAACATCATTAAATCAAAAATGCTTACCACAATAGAAAAAGAAGATATCGAAGTGGCTCGCAGAATAGGCCGTGACAACAATGGTAAAAGGCCTGTACTTCTGAAACTTCTAAGGTACAAAGTAAAAGAAAACATACTCAGAAATGGCAAGAAATTGATGAATACTGGTTATTCACTGACAGCTTTTCTCTCCCAGAGTGACTTAGAAAACAAAAAAAAGTTACGTCCCTACCAAATTTTAGCCCAACAGCAAGGGAAAAAATCTTTCATCAAAAGTGATAAACTTATAATAAATGGCAAAAACTACACCATTGAAGATTGCGAGAAGCTGTTTAGGAAAACAATACCTCTGGAAACTCACGTGGATGCTCCAGACAGGGGTAATTCTTCCGGGTCCAGCAGAGGCACCACAAAAGTAACTCGTGACGGAAAACCGTCCAATCAGTCAACTATGCGTCCGAACCTGAGAAGCACGTCAAAAAACGACTAGATGGCAAAATCACTATCATGCATCAAAATATTCAAAGTATTCGAAATAAAATAGGAGATATCACAACATTTTTATTGGAACATGAAGCAGAAACCGGTAAAAAAGTGGATATTTTATGCTTTTCGGAAACTTGGTTGAAAACTGATGAAATCGATACAATGAATATTGACAATTACAACTCAGTATCATACTTCTCTAGATCAATGTACTCACACGGAGGTGTTATAATTTTTTCACATGAGTAGTAAAGATTGGCCGGTTCTGGCTCTCCGCCCTAGGTCATCGTCCTCCGACCTTGGGCGGAGTGACCTTGGGCGGGAGTGACCTTGGGCGGGAGTGACCTTGAACGGGTCTGACCTTGGGCGGGAGTAACCTCGTATAGTGAAGTGTCGACAGCACGCCCTTGAACGCGGAGGTGACCTTGAGGGCGAGACAAAGTGACCTTGAAGGAAGGTTGTACGAGTAACCTTCGCATATGTGACCTTGGGAACGAGTGACCTTGAGTTGTAGAGAGAGAGAGAGAGACCTCGACCTTGGAGAGGGAGGTGAAAGCGTGTGCGACCTTGAAAATGGGAGTAGGCTGGTCGAGGTCGTTTTGGTAGAAGTGGGGTGCTGTGTTACGTCACATATCCCAGTTCCTATAAATACATCATTGTATCGTCTGCGAGAGCATAGTTCTCCTAATAATACGGAAGATACGCACCACCAACTCGCACATAAAAAATATACCCGCTCAAATTGATTGGGAATATAAAGTGTTTGCAATAAAAGTGTACGTGAACTGTTATATGTAAGTAAAAATTATTTATATACTTTTTACACCTCTTTTCACTCAACAAAGAAGAATTTATAATGGCAGCTCCTAAAATTGATTTGTTAACGATAAATAATCGAATTAACGAAGACAATGATATTATCAAGCAAACTGTTATCTCATCACTACTCTTGAATAAAAGCTATGTGGTCAAGAAAATATCACTATGTGGAACCAGGTTTGGTAGGAGCGGTTCTGTAATATTGTACGATGAAGAAACTGAGGCTAGTCTGAAATGTTGGTTGCCCAAAAGAGTTGTAGAGTTGCTGAGTGACAGCGACATTGATGAGATGAATTCTTCAAATGGTCTTTATACTCTAGCATATTTGGGCCAGAGTGAGCCATTATATGTAGGTGCAAAAACGAGGGCTCTCATCAAGTTTGACTTCAAGCAAAATTAATTCGGAATTATTCTACTTAATTATTTCTGATAGGTTTTTTTAGTATAGTTTAGTGAAAAGGGTTTAAAAATTATATGATAATTATTATTACATTAACACAAGCCACTAACGCAGATCGTACCGTTTGCGGTAAGTAATAAATTAGGTTCCAAAAAGAATTCAATGAAAGACAAATCTCCCAAATAATCTCATCATTACCAAACTTTTTTTTATCATTTACAGACTCCTGTTCCCCAACATGTGGATGTATTATTCTAGTCAATTCTGGCCGGCAGCGGAAGACATCAAATCAGCAGTGAGCAGGTTGAAATGTCAGTTCTCTGATTTGTCACGTGATGCAATGCATGCGACAAATTATGATTTGAGCATATGCTTCGATCGAGAACAAGTTGAACGACTCTGTAAACAAGCCGAACAATATAGAAAGGGTTATATGTTATGCGCCCGGTTCGAATATGGTAGCTTCACTTTGGAGGAATTTCTTGAAGCAATGGTGGGAGAGGACTTGGACCAATTTCTGTATGAAATTTTTGATTTCCTACCAAACAGCCTGATACGGAAGTACAACTTGGGGGTAATTCCAGAATCATCCGACAACGAGGAGGAAGGAGAAGAAGAATCGAAATGATGATATTGCTAAGAGATGCTTCAATCATACTATTATCATTTGCATGTATATATATAAATTATGGAATGATGATGATGAGCTCGCATTTTTCATTGTCTATCAATCAAGAAATAAAAACGATGATTTGTAAAACATTTGTTTACTTTTATTCAATTTAGTGCAGATACATGTGTCGATAATAATAATAATAATAATAATAATCATGATGATAATAAATAATAATGAACATAATAATAATAATGAAAAAACTGATCTAATACAATTATAGGCTTCGAATGCTCATGGTCGGCTGTGGCGGTGGTGGTGGAGGTGGACGGAGGCTAGAATTTGCTCCAGATCTGTAGAGTGTATTCAAGGAGCACCCAACTGTATTGAACCATCTAGTGCGCTATATGTCAAAAATGCATCGTGAAGAATGAGCGCATATACCTTGGTATTAGATGGAAATTTCGATTGGCGTGTCTCAAACTCCAACTTGATATCGACAGTTGAAGATTTCAATGTGTCCGGTTGATGGCTGCAGTCTATGATGAATAACGGATTTTTTCTAAACTCCTCAATACTCATCATTGGTTCGCTCATGTCTTTACCATAATAGCTTCGTTGGAAATTATCGTATGCATAATAGGCTACAGCATCTAACTTTTTTCCAAAATCCAAATTCCACCGTTCATAAGGGTAAACTTCCGAATTCAAATACAGTCGAATATTGTTGACTCCCGCATGAATGAATTGGGTGGTATCCTTGGATCTATTATCTGTGTTACCAGAATTTTGGAAGCCTATGATAATGTACCTTGGTCGCTCGAGACTATTGGTGGTTTTAACAGCCCAAATGTCTGAAGATGTTTCACGAATTGACGGTAATTCATACAGATCCCACATCCTGTATGCAATTTTCACTTTTGCTGTAGAACTTTTATTGAGACGGTTCAGTAATTTCAACCTCTGCTTATCCGATGGCATAATATGTCCTATCTTCCATTCGATTTTGTTAATCTCCACACTGGCATCAACTTCTCCTATATAGCAGTTTTTGAATGATCGAGCTATGATGAGTATCAGCTCCTGTTTCACATTCAATATACCTTTATTATAATCCTCAGCGAACCCCATTAAATATTTTAGCGGTAGTTTTCCACTGAATATGTGACTAGATTTGTCTAGAATTGGCTGATTTTCGCTATCAATTCCCCATCCGACTGTTTCAAGAAATTTAGCGTTAGAATCTCCATAAGAGATCATGCTCTTCATTGTGGTAGTAATGCCTGGTTTTCGAATCATACATACTTGTTCGCCGCCCATTTCATAACGAATTTCATCGAAGAGGAAGGCTAAGGTATTGTTAGATAGATAGCAGGATTTCGTTGCATCATCTGGTGTGAATTTCCCCTCAATATATATGTAGCTATCAGAAATATCGAGTATCAAATCTTGAAAGTTGACAGCTATCCTGATTTCATCAGAATTCTTGAATGATGGTGAACCATATGGTTTGTATGTATGCTCATGTAGGCTAATTAGTGAATGATCGAAAATTGGTTCATCAAACACCTCCAATTGTAAGCTAGTAGAACTTGTGACAACCATTGTTCACTAATTTCTACTCGTTCGTCGTCGTCTTTGTCGTACTGTCAGACCAATAGATTCCAAAAAATTTATATCGCTCGCAGATAATCTATGACGTCCTACCTGACCGGTGAGCTGTCTTTGAATGAATCCTCTACCCCGTTTACACTTCTTCTTAACGGTAGTGTGTAGAATAGTGGGGTTTGCAGCGAGAGATACACGTTTTGATTGGTTTCCGAAGCAGAAACCCATTTTTCCAAACCGTTGTAATAATTAATCGAGCTGTTTCAATTCCAATTTTACTATAATCTTCTCTCCGCGAAAGTCAACTAATCGGTCATTATCATCCAAAATTCTCAGTGTGATGTTGTCGATAGACTGACGCCCTGTCGGACTGATTGGTAGATATATAATATTTTTCGGCTCCTTTGAGAGTTTGTATCCAGGCTCCACATCGACATCGAACTCGTAAAGCGTGTGAACCTCCTCACCATTGAGGTACGCTCCAGTAGTGATATTACAATCAACCCGTATCAATCGTACCTTTATGATGTTCACAGGTAAAGTGGATTCATGCAAAACATTGGGCTTGTAATATTTCGGTTCAAAGCCCAAGACTTTGGCTATAGAATCGTTAATACTCAAAATTAACATAATTTCGGACTTGAGTTCACATTTGAGCGTATTATTGTTAGCTCGAAGGGAGAATACATCATCAATATTTCGCCCATTCAGCGGAGTCCAACTCTCTATAGCCTTTTGTATTGCTCTATTGATTTCATCTATCTCATAGGCGCCTGGTGGTATCTGAAGAACAACGCTTCCCTCTTCGAACCAAATACCTAATTTGTTATTTGTCTCATCTATATTGAGTATAGAGTTGTATGAATAGAAACCGTGTAACCCCAAGCCGTAAGTATTCCTCACATCGAGTTCGATTGGTGGAAAAAAATCTGCACTCAAGATACTGCGATCTCCAGAAATGGTGAATGTTTGCGACATAACTTTTTACAATTGGAAAAGCAAACACAGCAAAAACCAAACAACAAGCTTCAGTGTATACAGCAGCAGTAGTAAGAAGTATCAACCTTATTGCTGCCTGCAACAATGAAGAATGTTCTTGTTTTCGTTCGGCGAAGCATTAATATCGAATTTATTGTTAGTTGCCACATTTACATCTTCTATTTGACAAAAGCAGCATAATATTTTTCTTGGTATCGGCCCATCATTGACATCTGCGCTGGAATGGTCACTATCCTCTTGGCGGCGGTGTTCGTGGTGCTCCTCACAAAATCGATATTTTGATACATCTTGATCGTTGCGTAATTGTTCAGGTAATTTATCCCACACTAGAGCTATCTCATGTGAAGCGCATCCGATTAAAACCTCTTTCGGCATATCAGCGAGCTGTTTCTCACTCATCTTCAGCAAAGATCGTAATCTCGAGTAAGCCAATAATGCGTGCCCCATTTGTTTGATGCTTTTTCTATCCATATTATAATACGTAGTTTCCACTCTTCGACGAGAGAAATTTCAAGCACAAATGACCACACCAGACTGTGTTGTAATCCTGTTGACGGTCATAGTTATATACGATTTTGATAGCTTTTGATCCCCTCCTTAAATATTTCACCAACTCTTCGGGTGGCGGCAAATCGCCATAACTATCATAATATTCGACTACCCCACCACGTTTTTTATAAGCAACCCAATGTGTCCCTTTACCTCGAATACCATCGAGATTCAGAATGGCTGATTCTATGTGGCGCGGTGGAGAATTTGGTAGATTATCTCTCATAAATATACCTCGAAAGTTTGGAACACCCATTTTCTCTATGTATTGTGATAAATCGATGTCCGTCAACGCCCTTCGAGGTAACCCTGCTAGTTTTTTGAACTTTGCGGCTTCAAGTAAATGCCCAGTCCTTTTCGGTACGGCTTCAAATATACTCCTTTACCGATCTTTCCTAGAGCGATCGCCTCCAAATGTCTATTATGACGATTCGCTTCAGAGAGTTGCTCCCTACCCTCTTTAGCTGAATTAATAGCTCGAGCTATACCAGCACTACCTGCAGCCAAACTCCCCAATGCCGATAATCCCGCAAAAATGGGTATGAGTGGAAGAATTCCTCCAACTTTAGGAATTGGTATAATGCGAGGTGTTCGGATATTATTCTTTCCACCAGCCATCTTGACGAATTTTCTAGCAGCTCCAATCGCCATAAGAGAAGTCTTGGCCAAGTTTTTGGCGAGTGCCCCCTTCTTTCCCACTTGTCGCAACACATTGCGAACTTTGTGCACTATGCCGGACCCAAAAGCAATTTTTCTCCCACTCTTGGTAGTATTCTTCTTCTTCCTCGACACTCGACGTTTCTTCACTCCGCTGCTGCATCCCATACCAAAACGCCTCTTTCCCTTCATTATATTGGTAACAAGCCAAGATGCGGCCCTCTCTCCTGCAGATGCGTCCTTTGATTTAACACGTTTCCACGCGGATTCTTCCAATTCCTTATCGGCAGAATGCCTTGCAGATAAATCGTTCGGATGCTTGAAATATGCGATATCGTGTTCCTTGCACGCTCTATCTAATTGGTTAATGCCTGGATCACCTCGAGATAATCGTTTCTGTAACTTTGTTCCAGGACCACAATACTGATAGCCGCCGGGAATATGTAATTCGACCGGTAATTTATTAATTAAAGTATTAACAAATCCTCTGCCAGTCCTCTTTCCTCGAAAACTTTTTTCACCGTTATCGCTTGCCGATGTGTATCGCTTCAGCTTCATAATATAAATGACATTCACAGAGTTTGCGATTCATTATATAGCATTTGACCATCATACAATGCAGATTGTTCAGCAGCAAGAAACATTGCGAGTTGACAACTTCGATGAAAAAGTAGGGTTAGGAAATGGTATAATTACACAACGTCGGCATGGATTCCTACTACCTAATACTATACGCAGTCTCATTATCGGCCCATCAAATTGCGGCAAAACGAATGTTATGATATCCCTCCTCACCAACGATAATGGTTTACGATTCGCCAATGTTTATCTCTATTCAAAATCGTTGTATCAACCCAAGTATGAGTACTTGCGGAAAGTATTGGAACCGATAAAGGGACTGGGGTTTTATACATATAGTAATAATGTGGACATTGTTGAACCGGAAGATGCGAAGCCACACAGTATTTTCATATTCGACGATGTGATATGTGAAAAACAAGATGTAATCAGATCATATTTCTCAATGGGGCGCCATAAAAATGTGGATTGCTTTTATCTAGCACAAACGTATTCGAGAGTGCCGAAACAGCTGATTCGCGATAATTCCAACTTCATAATCATGTTTAGGCAGGATGATATGAATCTACACCACATTTATTCCGATCATGTATCTCCAGATGTAACATTTAAACAATTTCAAGAAATGTGTGCACAAAGTTGGACAGATAGATACGGGTTTCTCGTTATAGATAAGGATAGTGAAATTCATGAGGGCCGTTATAGGAAAGGGTTCGACTGCTTCATATACCCCTAAAACAGCAACTGCATGGACTTCATTCAACCTTTGGATAGCACAATGAGCACACCTAGTAGTGAAATCGCTTCAGAAATACAGCTCAAACGCCAACTTGTTGAAGCAACCGATGCGGTAAGGAATAAATTTAAAAGTCTCAAGAGCGAACTCACCAGTAACCAAATGATGTTAGAAAAAGCTTATGAGCCGCTGACAAAACCATTGAAGGTTATCACCGCGGCAGCAACGGCGGCAGTAGCCAAGCAAAATCTAATGCCAGCAGCTACTCCGAAGAGTTATAGCAAACCTTCAACGTTGACAATAGCACACCCGACATATTATTCCACACCAATATCGAGTAATGAGGCGAATGCTGTAGCGACGAAGCCGTTCAAGAAACATGGGGAGTCTGGGAATTTCAGCAATAGCTTTCAACCGCTACCATCATCGCCTCATAACGGAGGACCTAAGTATACAACTCTATTGGAAACACCACCAACATCTTCGTCTCAAATTTCAAGCAGTGATATTACAGTGTATCCTTCTGTAGATGGAACAACCGCGAGCGACTTACAGGGCAAAATAATGGAGCATTTGAGGAATTTGAAAGAAAATAACTCGAATTATGATACAACATATGGCGTTCACATCGATTCCAAAACAGGGGAATTGAAAATGGGTAATATGGAAATCCGATTTCCTGCAGACCAAATCGAATTATGGCGCGGTAATAAGAGAAGCGTAGCGTTTCCAGCAACAACTGGATTATACGATTTGATCTTTATGAAACATGTGCCAAGAACTATCGATGATCAAGATAAAAGAATATACACCACTTTGTTGGAGACTACACGAGCGCCATATAAGAATTATGACATCAGAGAAGGTTTGAATAATAGTGCGAGGAAGAAATATCAGCTAGTCATAAAGCCATTAATCGGCACACCGCATAAAATGAGGAGTCAACTCCTGTTAAATGAAGTTAAAGGTGGTAGAGGAATGAGCAAATCATTACCATACAGAAAAGTCGTGAGTAAACAACACAAAGAGTATGCTTATTGGAATGAAGCAAAAGAGCTGGTTGACCGCCTCCGACTACTGTGGGGTTCTAAAATGGCTGGCCACACTGGACACGATAATGAGATAATGTCAATAATAGAGGAGTTGCGCGAAGAAGGCATCGTTTATTAATGTTATTAATGTATATATATATATAACATCATAATATATTAAGGATTGATAAAGT